GGAAAGGAAAGGAAAGGAAAGGAAAGGAAAGGAAAGGAAAGGAAAGGAAAGGAAAGGAAAGGAAAGGAAAGGGAGGAAAGGGAGGAAAGGGGAAGGGGAAGGGGAAGGGGAAGGGGAAGGAAAGATAAGAAATACTGAACTATATATAGATGACAAGAGGCTAATGGGATCAGCAGTAGTCACAAGACTTCATCAAAGACATGAATGTCTCCTTCAAATATGGAGTTAAAAGACGCCTAAGTCAATTAAGTAATAGGAATTAAATATGATATCAGATATCATTTATTATGTAGAGGCTGATATCTGGCAGCCAAAGTGAATAAACAAGTGAAGAATGAGCAGAAAAAATAAACTGGGTGTAAAAAAAAATAGAAGACTTAAAGCCATGTGGAGAGAAAGGAATGAAGAAAAGAGAGAGGCACAAGGACATGCCTTTCCAGTTCTAATGAGGCAAGATAGTACTCCCTCCTATTTGGTTTCATGGGCTGCCCTGTCTGGCTTCAGTGGGGGAGGATACACCTAGCCTCTCAGAGACTTGATGAGCCATGGTTGGGGGATACTCAGGGATGCCCCACCCGCTCAGAGAAGAGAAGGGGGATGAGGGAAGGATGAGGAGGTAACTGGGAGGGGGGCAGAGAGTAGGATATAAAGTGAAAGTAAAAATAAACTAAATTAAAATGCAAATTTTAAAAAGTGAATTTCTTTAAAGGAAACTAGTGCTGCTCACTTTAAGAGTGCTTGCTTCTCTTGCAGAAAAGCTGGATTCAGTTCCTAACACATCCATGATAGCTCACAACCCTCTGTAACTGGTTTCAGGGGATCCATACCCTCTCCTGCCCTTCCTATACCAGGTATGCATATATTGCACAGGCATACATGCAAGCAAAATGCTCAAACACATAAAATAAAAACAATCTTTTTTTAAAAAAAGTAATAATTAAAAAAGAATCCATTCATAGTAGAGTACAGGACACTACTCTCAAACTTTTATGGAACAATTTTATGGTACAATTTGAACACATTCTTCACTCAAGAAAAGGAAAAATGTTTAAGTCAGGTTAAGACACTATCTAAGCAGGTATTAGGGCTTTGAAATCATAGTTGTTGATATAAAACCTTATGCAATTTACCAGAAACTAAACACTTACTGATGTCACATTTTTTAAACTTTTTTACATTGCACAGCCTAGTAATGTAACTGGACCAAGCCCACAGTGAACTGACGTTTGACCGTGAGTACTCACATGCAGTACACAAATACGCAGCAGCTGTAAATCATGGGGAGCTCATCCAGCAGCTATAAAGCAGAGAGACGGAAATGTGAACACAGGACAGCTACACTTATGGAAGTTAAATAAAACTGTAGATTGATTGTGATGGTCATCTCTTAAGCTAGGGACGTGCCTCAGTCACACAGTGCACCGCGTAGCATGCACAGGTCCTCGTTCAACTCCTAGTTTCTCACCCTAAAATTATCAATTCTTATTTAATTTCTTTTACTAATATTTAATATATTCATCATCACCAAATTTACTTGTACAGTTTGTTGTTTTAAACCATCAAAGTTATCTACCTATCCCTTCTAAGGCTCACATATAAGTGGCACATCTGACTGACTTTCCCAAAGAACAATCAGAGTTCAGGCCAACAAAATCAGAAATGGTTGTAAATGTGCAGATCTGAGAAATATTTAGGAAGTAAAATAAACAGAGATTTGTTTTTAATTTTATATAAAGGTGAAGAAAAAGAAACTATAAAAGATATATCAAGTTTCTCACTTAACATTTCAGAATATATTAGTACAGTTTAATGAGATTATGGAAACAGAAAAAAATGACAAGAACAATTTTCAGCATTCTGAGTTTAAAGTACCTGACATAGATAGTATATAGAAATGTCAATCAAGCATGAGAAGGACAAATTGTAGCTCAGGAGAAAAGTCTGAACTCCAAGTATTTGAGGCTTACCTAAAAGGACTATATTTACAGAAGTATAAATATGCATTCATTGGTGTGCACATGCATGTGAAGGCAGTGGTGTTTTTCCTCAGGCACCCCCCCATCTTGTTTTTTGAAACAAGAGACTTTCACTGATCTGGAGCTTGCAATTAGGGTGAAATTGCTAGCAGCCATAACGCTCCTAGAATCTGCCTGTCTCTGTCTGAGACTACAAGCTGATACTACCACTTTTTATTTATTTATTTATTTATTTATTATTTATTATTTATTTATTTATTTATTATTTATTTATTTATTTTATTTAGCAGAAAGAGGGGTGTTATTGGGCATGCATGCACCCTGCACATGTGTGGAGTTAAGAGGACAAAGTATGGAAGTTAGTTCTCTCCTTCCACCACGGGGATCATATGGATCACACTCAGGTAGTTGGACTTGACAGCAAGCACCTTTCCTTATTGTATTATCTCACTAAGCTTCATCTTAATTGCAAAAGAGTGTTGGATCCCCTGGAACTGGAGTTATAGTTGTGAGCTGCCACATGAATGCTGGGAACCAAACCTGGGTTTTCTGTACTTGGCATACAAAATAATCAGTTTTGAGTTTTAATAGCCAGGACTTCACAGAGAAACCCTGTCTCAAAAAACCAAAACAACAACAATAATAAAATGTATTGCTGGCACTGTTGTACTTGTACATCTTTTTACTTTGTCCCTACCTGCCCTTGTCACTCATCTGTTGGTGCTTTTCCTCCCAGCAACCAGTCCCCCTTCTTTTAAGTCATCCATTTTAAAATTTGAGCAATGCAAATACAAAAGTCTCATTTCAAAACTGTAAGAAAATTAAGACCAGCAAAAGATCAGAGCTCTGAAGTATGATGGTGTATGTCTATGAAGATAATCCTGAGGATACCGCTGGTCAAGGATTTGCCTAAAATGTGCAATGCCTGTGTTCATACCACAGACAGCAAAACAAAGGTGAGTCTGGCGAAGGCCAGATCACAAAACTTAGCTCAAAATGTGTGAGTTTAAACTATGGGCAGAATTAAAGGGTTAGTGATGTTAAGCCAAAAGGTTGAAATGACTAGATATATAACCACTTTGAAGCAAAGATAAAAACTAAACAGGGTTCACCCCATTCAAAAGGATGCCACCAATACATGAAATACTGCAGGCACCTAAGAATAAAATGCTTTCGTAAACTGCTTACAACTTTTTAGGACACCTCCATGTAACTGTTTTCTTTAATGCTCTTCTAAAATTACATATGCCTGCGTGGAGTTGGCATACATACATAGAAAGCCATAATACTTTATACGGTCAGTTTGAGCCCTTTGACTCATGAAAGACTTCAAAGATGTCAAGTCCCTGCTTTTATTATCCTTTAGCTATGTGTTCTTTTCTTGAATTGTAAGTGTCTCTAAACTGAGAGAAATAGTCATTCACTTTTGCCATTACTCACCTGCATCTCATATTTCAGAGTCATGTGGAAACACCAGGATCCCATTCCTACCACTGAAAACAAGACAGACAAATAAAAAGATTCACAAGAAATTCTCTGGAGGCCAGAGTGACTTCAGAAGACAGTAGGAAGTAGTAAGTTTATTAAGGTCTTGTGACAAGATACAGCTGATGCTGAGTTAGTGCTATGATTGAAGATTTTGGCATAGAAGAAAACAAGCACAGTATAATTTTCTACAATTCTCTCTACTAAGTAATTTAGTGTACTAACAATACTCTATTATTTCTATGAAGTACTGAATGCTCAGGATAAGTTCTAATGTGTATAGTTGGTCAGCTTCTTTTAGCAATCTCTCGTACTTCTCTGATCTATAAAACCTCGCAATATAATTTACAGAGTCACAATATCATTATATATACAAACCTACTGTAAAGACACATAAATGCAACTCTCTTAAGAACTTTTCTGGAGATACCAACACCTTTGAGTGTACTGCAGTCTTTACGTATAAATAATTAACATTGTTTCATTGTGACCCATTCTATAATTCTTCCCATGACACAGTCAAAGATCCAAGGCAACATCTCAGACACTGGTGATAGTTTGGGGCTGTGTCTCTTTGTCACAATAAATAGTTCTATGTTCCAAGTATGCTGACCAATATATGCTCTAGTCCCTTTTTATCTTTATAGAGAACCATTATCACTTACCATTTGGCTTTCATGTAATTCATTGGCAACAAAGGATTATACATGGCATTAAGTAATAAGGAAGGTATTCTAACTCAGGTTCCTTTATATAATAGTTTATATACAACTTAAATATGTAGGAAACAATTACAGAGATACGTACAAAAAGGCAGAAAGATATTTTCAATTTTCTGGCCAAAAGTGGGCTTTGTGAGCATGGCTAATAAAACTCTGCAGCTAGGTAAAGCTTTCTTTTTTTTCTTTTTTGTTTGTTTGTTTTGTTTTGTTTTTTTTTGAGACAGGGTTTCTCTGTGTAGCTCTGGCTGTGGAACTCACTCTGTAGGCCAGGCTGACCTCGAACTCAGAAATCCGCCTGTCTCTGCCTCCCAAGTTATGGGATTAAAGGCGTGAGCCACCACTGCCCGGCAAAGCTTTCGTAATAAATATTGTATCAACAATCCATACATTCCACTCCATGCGAATTGAAAGGAGAAAAAAGAAAAACACCCCTCCCCCTTTCTGCTAGTACTAGGGGTTAGTGCTAGAGCTGTGTCCATTGTAAGCAAACGCTCTACCACTGAGCATCCCAAGCAAAAAAGAAATTGTAGAATGAGACAGAGTCTAAATTGTACAGACTGGCCTCACATGTATCACTATGTATCTAGGCAAGCGTCCCAAGTGGTGGGGATCATGTTCCACTACACCTGCCAGGTGTGTAGTTCAATTTGTCTACTTTTCCTTACATCTAAACTTAAATTACAGAAAGTTATTTCAAAATGCTGGACATAAATTTACACATTTCCTTTCAGCATTTTTAATATTTTAGTTTTAAAATGTATATTTCTGATCAATTTAAAATTTATTTTTGAGTATTGTATATATAAGGTATATAGTCAATTATTTTCTCTGGCACTTTATTCATGAAAATATTTTACCTTTGGCCCAATGACTACAAATGGCATCTTTTTCAATATTTGGTAAGTTATGTGTGTCCAGGAATTGTACATTTCTATATTACCTAATTTGCTGGCATATAACTATAATAATTTCTTATGATTCTTTTGTATTACTGTATCAACTGTAATTAATCATCATTTCACTGATCATATGTATTTTTCTTTGTTTTATTTGTATTGCTCTAATCTTTATTATTTCCTTCCTTCTAGTACTTTTTTTTCTTTTCTTTTATTGGATATTTTCTTTATTTACAGTTCAAATGTTATCCCCTTTCCCAGTTTCCCCTCCAGAAACCCACTATCCCATTTCCCATCCTCCTGATTCTATGAGTGTGCTCACCCACCTACCCACCCACCTACCCACACACTCCTGCCACCTGGACCTGGCAGGAGTCTTCACAGAACCAAGGGCCTCTCTTCCCATTGACATCCAACAAGGACATCCTCTGCTACCTACGAGGCTGGAGCCATGAGTCCTTCCATGTGTACTCCTTGGTTGGTGGTTTAGTCTCTGGGAGCTCTGGGGGGAGGGGTCTGGTTGGTTGATATTGTTGTTCTTTCTATTGGGTTGCAAATCCTTCAGCTCCTTCAGTCCTTTCTCTAACTCCTCTATTGGGGTCCCAGTGCTCAGACCAATGATTGGCTGTGACCATCTGCCTCTGTATTTGTCAGGCTCTGGAAGAGCCTCTCAGGAGACAGCTGTATCAGGCTCCTGTCAGCATGCACTTCTTGGCATCCACAATAGTGTCTGGGTTTGGTGTCAGTATATGGGATGGATCCCCAGGTGGGGCAGTCTCTGGATGGCCTGTCCTTCAGTCTCTGCTCCACACTTTGTCTCTGTATTTCCTCCTGTGAGTATTTTGTTCCCACTTCTACGAAGGACCGAAGCATCCACACTTTGGTCTTACTTCTTGAGCTTCATATGGTCTGTGAATTGTATCTTGGGTATTCAAAGCTTTGGGGTTAGTATCCACTTGTCAGTGAGTGCATACCATGTGTGTTCTTTTGTGACTGGGTTACCTCACTCAGGATGATATTTTCTAGTTCCATTCATTTCATAAATTTAAAATACAGAATTTCATAAAGTCATTGTTTTGTTTTTTAAAAAGACACATTTATTCAGCATCATGATCAGACTATTACATTTAGCAATCAACAGCATGGGTGAAAAAGGTCTACAGAAACCTTTTGTTGGAATGCTTTACACTTTCCACAGAACAGAAACTAAAATAACCTGTTATACAATTAGTCACAAATACAGTCCTGAGGTTTTTGCCTACACACATGAGTATTGTCTAAAATATGTCTTCTTTGTAGCAGCTAGGCCCTGCCACCACTGTGCTTGCCTGAGTTCACAAACCTGTTGTAAAATGTAGCTTCCCTGTCACTTCTCTGGCTCTCCTCTCCTGCTTTGTTTCCTGGCTGTAATTAGAACCTCCTGCCACTGCCATAGCTACTGTTGCTGCTGGAACCCCCGTAGCCACCTTGGTTTCGTGGTTTAGCAAAGTACTGGCCTCTGCCACCATAAAGGCCACAGCTACTGCCTCCAAAGTTTCCTCCCTTCATCGGTCCAAAATTTGAAGACTGATTGTTGTAATTGTCAAAATCATTGTAGCTTCTAATACCTCCAAAATTGCTTCTGTCTTTGCCAAATCCATTATAGCCAAACCCACCAAAGCCACCATGACCACTGAAGTTCCCTCCTCAACTAAAATTGTCATTGCCACCAAAACCGCCTCCACAACCACCACCAAAGTTTCCGGAACACTTCAACCTCTCTGGCTGGATGAAGCACTAGCCAGCTCTTGCTTCGACAGAGCCCTTCTTACTTCACAGTTGTGGCCATTCACAGTATGGTATTTCTGAATAACAATCTTATCCACAGAGTCATGGTCATCAAAGGTGACAAAAACAAAGCCTCTCTTTTTTCCACTGCCTCTGTCAGTCATAATTTCTATCACTTCAATTTCCCATACTGCTCAAAATAATCTCGTAGGTGATGTTCTTCAGTGTCTTCTTTAATACTACCAACAAAGATCTTTTTTAGAGTTAAGTGGGCACCAGGTCTCTGAGAATCTTCTCTTGACACAGCTCGCTTAGGTTTTACAACTATTCCATCCACCTTGTGTGGTCTTGCATTCACGGCAGCATCCGCTTCCTCCACAGTGGTGTGTGTGACAAACCCAAAGCCCCTGGATCTCTTGGTGTTTGGATCTCTCATTACCACACAGTCAGTTAGTGTTCCCCATTATTGAAACTGGCTCCTCAGACTCTCATTGGTTGTTTTGAAGTTTAGCCCTCCAATGAGCTTCCGGCTCTTTGGGAGATTCTGACTTAGACATGACAGCGGAGTGATAAGAGCCTTCAGGGATGCTTCCTCGGCAGCGTCTAAGAGCAGAAAGGCAAAGTCATTGTTTTTAATAGCCGAGTGGTACTCTACTGTGTAAACGTACCACATTTTCTGTATCCAGTCCTCTGTTGAAGGACATCTGGATTCTTTCCAGCTTCTGGCTACTATAAATAAGGCTGCTATGAACATAGTGGAGCATGTGCTCTTGTTATATGTTGGAGCATCTTTTGGGTATATGCCCAGGAGTGGTATAGCTGGATCCTCAGGTAGTACTGTGTCAACTTTCTGAAGAACCACCAGATGGATTTCCAGAGTGGTTGTACCAGCTTGCATTCCCATCAACAATGGAGGAGTATTCCTTTCTCCACATCCTCACCAGCATCTGCTCTCACTTGAGTTTTTGATCTTAGTTATTCTGACTGGTGTAAGGTGGAATCTCAGGGTTGTTTTGATTTGCATTTCCCTGATGACTAAGGATGTTGAACATTTCTTTAAGTACTTCTGGACCATTCGATATTCATCAGTTGGGAACTCTTTGTTTAGCTCTGTACCCCATTTTTAAGAGGGTTATTTGATTATCTGGAGTACAACTTCTTGAGTTCTTTGTATATATTGGATATCAGCCCTCTATCAGATGTAAGATTGATAAAGATCTTTTCCCAATCTGTTGGTTGCAATTTTGTCCTATTGACAGTGTCATTTGTCTTACAGAAGCTTCGCAATTTTATGAGGTCCCATTTGTCTATTGTTGATCTTAAGAGTATAAGCCATTGTGTTCTGTTCAGGAAAATTTCCTCTATGCCCATGTGTTTGATGCTCTTTCCCCTCCTTCTCTTCTATTAGTTTCAGTGTATCTGGTTTTATGTGGAGGTCCTTTATCCACTTAGACTTGAGCTTTGTACAAGGAGATAAGAATGGATCAATTTTCATTCTTCTACATGTTGACCACCAGTTGAACCAGCACCATTTGTTGAAAATGCTATCTTTTTTCTACTGGATAATTTTGGCTCATTTGTCAAAGATCAAGTGACCATAGGTGTGCAGGTTCATTTCTGAGTCTTCAATTCTATTCCATTGATCTTCCTGCCTGTCCCTACCAATACCATACAGTTTTTTTTTATCACTATTGCTCTGTAATACAGCATGAGGTAAAGGATGGAGATTCCCCAAGAAGTTCTTTTATTGCTGAGAATAGTTTTCACTATCCTGGGTTTTTTATTATTTCAAATGAATTTGCAAATTGCTCTTTCTAACTCTATGAAGAATTGAGTCAGAATTTTGATGGGGATTGCATTGAATCTGTAGATTGATTTCTACAAGATGGTCATTTTTACTATATTAATCCTGCCAATCTATGAGCATGGGCTTCCATATTCTGAGATCTTCAATTTCTTTCTTCAGAGACTTGAAGTTCTTGTCATACAGATCTTTCACTTGCTTGGTTAGAGTCAAACCAAGGTATTTTGTATTATTTGTGACTATTGTGAAGGGTGTCATTTCCTTATTTCTTTCTCAGCCTGTTTATCCTTTGAGTAGAGGAAGGCTACTGATTTGTTTGAGTTGATTTTATAACCAGCCACTTTGCTGAAGTTGTTTATCAGGGTTAGGAGTTCTCTGGTGGAATTTTTGAGGTCACTTAAGTATACTGTCATATCATCTGCAAATAGTGATATTTTGACTTCTTCCTTTCCTATTTATTTCCCTTTGACGTTTTGTTGTCTAATTTCTCTGGCTAGGACTTTGAGTACTATACTGAATAGATAGGGAATGAGTGGGGAGCCTTGTCTAAACCCTGATTTTAGTGGGATTGCTTCAAGTTTCTCTCCATTTAGTTTGATGCTGGCTACTGGTTTGCTGTATATTGCTTTTTACTGTATTTAGGTATGGGCCTTGAATTCTTGATCTTTCCAAGACTTCTACAATGAAGAGGTGTTGAATTTTGTCCAATGCTTTCTCAGCATCTAATGAGATGATTATGTGGGGTTTTTTTTCTTCCCTTTGAATTTGTTTATATAGTGAATTACATTGATGGATTTCCATTTATTGAACCATCCCTGCATCCCTGGGGTGAATCCTACTTGATCATGGTGGATAATCATTTTGATGTGTTCTTGCATTCTGTTTGTGAGAATTTTATTGAGTATTTTTGCATCAATATTCATAAGGGAAATTGGTCTGAAGTTCTCTTTCTTTGTTAGATCATTGTGTGGTTTATGTATAAGCATAATTGTGGCTTCATAGAACGAATTGGGTAGTGTTCCTTCTGTTTCTATTTTGTGAACAGTTTCAAGAGTATTGGTATTAGGTCTTCTTTGAAGGTCTGACAGAATTCTGCACTAAAACCATCTGGTCTTGGGCTTTTTTTGGTCGGAACACTTTTAATGACTGCTTCTATTTCTTTAGGGATTATGGGACTGTTAGATGGTTTATCTGATCCTGATTTAACTTTGGTACCTGGTATCTGTCTAGAAAATTGTTCATTGCATCCAGATTTTCCAGTTTTGTTGACTATAGGCTTTTGTAGTAGGATCTGATGATTTTTAAAATTTCCTTCCTCAGTCTCTAAAGTGCAGGGATTGTAAGCATGTACCATCAAACTCGGTCCCTATACACTATTTCAGAGATTGCAGATATATACAGTGTAAACGTAAGAGTGGGTAAAAAAATTATAAGATATAATTTAAAATAGAGTTTAGCTCTTAGGGTGAGAAGCTAGACTGAGAAGGAAAAAAAAAGGCAGAAATACAAGGGAAATTTCTATTTCATCTGCAGTGGCAATTTTCCTTTAAAAAGAAAAAGCTAAGATTTGAAGCAAATTAAAACTTCTGATCTGGCAGAGATGGGTAGAAAACTGTCTGTTTATTTTATTACCTCTATCCTGTATAGTTATAGTCTGAACTTTTTAAAAAAAGTTATTCAAAAGTACAGTTCAAGTCACTGGCAAGGTCTGTGAAGTTTCAACTTTAATGTTTCAAAGTGTAATTGCATTTAGAAATGAGAATAGCCATCCAATGCATACTGCACATCCTTTTTCAGATGAAGTAGTCTACATACCTGTGAGTGCTAAGTAAGCAGCAACATACCGTTTCTCCAGACTATCTCGAATGCCTTGAATTGCACCAAAAATTGGAGGTATGATCATAATCAGGTTACTCACTGTATTCCCTACAGGAGAAAAAAACAAGAAGAGATTTAGATTAACCAGTAACACTTAAAGGACACGTTCATCTGGTCTTTAGCAATAGTTAAATAAGATATTCCCTGGAGCTGAAAGGGTTTGTGGCACCATGAGGAGAGCAACAATACCAACCAACCACAGCTCCCAGGGTCCTAACCACCAGCCTGGGAGCACTTAGGGAGGGATCCAGGGCTTCAGCTGAATAAGTAAGAGTGGAGGGCCCTGCCGGGCATAGGTGGAAGATGAGATCCTTGACCTCATGAAGGCTGGACGCCCCAGGGGGTGGGAATTTTGAGGGTGGGGAAGTGGGAGTTGGGGGTAGGTGGGGGTTACATCCACGGAGAAGAAGGAGGAGGGGTAAGGGGATGGGGGGTTCCTGGGTGGGTGGGGGATGGGGTAAGGGGACAACATATGAAATGTAAATAAAATATCCAACAAAAAAAAATACGATATAAGCAGTTAAAAAAAAAGATATTCCCTGGAAAGACTGTGATAAGATATCAAAATACTACAAAAAAGTCTTTATTCAATAAAATGTTCTCAAAATAATCAAACAAAACAAAGATACTTCCTAAAAAATGAAACTAAGAATGTTAAGAGAAAATTCTAACTTCTGAAACCAAGGAAAGGATCTCAGAAAAAATTCAGAGAAAAAACAGTAAGCTAGTTGGAGACGGAAGTCTATACCAATGCTTCACAAAGTGTGGCTCTTTGCAAGTGAATGATAATATAAACAATGACATTATAATACAGTATAACATAATTAATGATAATATAAATAACTGGAATCATTTTGACTGTGCAACTGAAAAGCAATCAACTGAATGGTCACATTTTATGTATTTTTGTAATATTTCATTTTTCTGGTAACGTTCTTAGTTTTCAAGATATAAGACAACAGATTTTTAAAATTTTAATTTTTCTGTAATGCAATGGCTATGACTTTTATTTTCATCTTTAAAAACACAAAGCTCTGAGGAACTCTGTATTAGTGAATTCAACCCACCACATACTGTAAATTTTTTTTAATGTTTATACAAACACAGACATTTTCTTGTCTTTATTTCCCCAATAATAAAGTAAAGTAACATAATATTTACATTGTGTTAGGTATGATAAGTAATCAACAGACCATGATGCATACTGAAGGATTTGTGCAGATTATATGAGAATATTATGCCATTTCATATAAAGGACGAGCAACTGCAGATGTTGATATACACTGGCTGCTGAGGAGAAGGAATAAGGTTCCCTGGAACTAGAGGTACAGGTCACTGTCTAGCACCAGGTGCGAACTGAACTGGGGTCCTCTGCAAGAGCAACAAGTGTTCTTAACCTCTGACCCAACTCTCCAGCCCTATGTTTTTAAAAAGCTTATTTTGGAGTGGGAATTTAGCTCAGTGGTAGAGTGCTTGTCTAACAAGCTCAACACCCTGGTTCAGTCCTCCAACAGTAGGGTGGGGTGAGAGCAATGGAAAACAGAAAACTAAAAAGTTGATTTAAACAAAGACAAAAAAATCGCTCTTTAAATAAGAAATTATACAAATGATAGCCAATTTAGATTTACTATAAGAAAATAATATACATTACTATAGACTCAAAGACATTTTTTTTTATTAAAAATTGCTATTATTCAGGTTCTAGCTAGAATTGACAAGCCATGGAGCAATCTGAGCAGGAAAAGTTTACAATAAAGAATTACTGAATGGGCTGAGCTGTACCTCAGTTGGCAGAGTTCTTGCTTATCATGCATAAGACACTAAATGCTAGGAAGTAATTCCCAACATCAAACTAACCAGGAATGGCGGTGCATGTGTATAATTTCTTTACTTGTGAGCATGAAGATCAGAAATTTCAGGTTATCCTCAGCTACATAGTGAATTGAAAGACATCTTGGGCTACTTGAGACTCAGTCTCAAAAAAAAAAAAAGGAACCCAAATCACCTAGCATATCTATAATCCCAACACTTGGGAGGCAGAGGTAGAAGGATCTCAAAAGTTCAAGACTGGATTACTAATTAAAAAGAAGGAATTAGAGTAGCTAGTTTGTAAGAAGAGAACTCTCCAGAATAAAGGAATAGTAGACACAAGGAGAGTAGAGCTACTATCCCTACCCACTATGGTAGAGCTGCAAAAGAGAATTCTCTCAAGGATGAGATACAGACTAATACCCATGGTCCTTTGATTATTTTAATTATCAAAATGAAGGTGGTTATAAGTTTGGTGGTATCAATGACATTACTAATCTTCTGGGAGAAAAGTCAGAGCAGAGCAGGCCCTAAGAAAAGGGAAGCTGCTAAACTGAACCCATAAATTTTGGGTTGCTGGACAAAAGACATACTGTTTTTGGAGAGAGGCTCTATATTTGTGTTAACAGGAAAAAAGAAAAGGCGTTGGAACTCTTCCAAAGCAATATGGATTGGATATGATAGGGGAAACCACCTGAAGCTCTTGGCTACAGACAGGAAAGAAAAATTCAAGAAGACCAAACAGGACAGGTAGCATGATTTGCTGATCCCTCCACCTGGTAACAGCCCTGCAACTGGCTTAGACATAAAAATGTCTCTAGCCAAAACTTCAGCTTAAATTTCATCATGCCATCCTTCAGATGGCATGAATGAAGATTTATTACAATTGGTTACTGATCAAACTATTGATCAAACTTTCACCTACTAAAACAAAGAGCAAAAATTCATCCTTAACGGATCTGTGCAGCTGGTATAATCAATTCAAATATCTTAATAGAACTAAAAATTTGGTTGTAAGATTCATATGTTGCCCAGAGAGGTTCGAAGAAGGCATCAGATCCTCTACGACTGGAGTTACAGATGATCGTGAACCAACAGGTGGGTTCTGTGAACTGAAGCTGCATCATGTGCAAGAGCAGCAAGTTCTCTTAACCACCGAACCATCTCTCCAGCCACATAGAAAAAAACTTAAATGAAAATGGCCAGTTCAATAAAGATTTCAAATCACCAATTCAAAAATATGCACCATCTGATGTTTTTGAATTTAACATATAGGTTGCGCACACACACACACACACACACACACACACACACACAAAACTGCAAGATGATGTCCACCAGTGTGTTTTTAGGAAGTCCTCAAGCTTAAATAAATAAATAAATAAATAAATAAGTAAGTAAATAGCCAAGGATCAAAGTAACCAACCAAGTGTCTTGTTACTTCATGTGGCCTACAACAACAAATGTTGGCATATTGCTCTGAAGAAGAGAAGAAAAAGGCACTAAGAAATACAGAGGAGGCTGTAGAATGATGTAGTACACACATATATAAATGCTGGCAAAATACATACATAAAAGTAAAATTTTTATAAAGTATTTTCCGAATGTTATGGCTATTCACAAAGCAGACTAGTGTCTATTTTTTTCTACATTGAAAAGTGCTGAGCTACTCAGGATGGGAAACTACAAAAGGGCTCTTATTTGATTAAACAAAATCACTAGATGAGACATTGAGAGAAAAGACAAAAACAATGACTTGGAGGGATGTTATCTCAGCTACGTGGATAGTGAGAATACCACAGAACCTAAACACAGCAGAGGAATTCACCTCAGTATTTCCATCACAGAAGGGTAAAGATGAGGACCACTCAAGAAAATGAAACTTTTTCCAATGAAGACAGATTCTCTAGATTCAACGGATGCACCCAGCGCACCACTGAGTAACTGTATTCCAAAACTCTATTTTACAATGTCTTTTACATTTTCTAAAGAAGAAGCATGGTGCTATAAGATTTTAGGACTGTGAGTAAGAAAATAGCATACCTTGGGAAATTTTAACATATCAAAAACAGAGCAAATATCATAGAAATCTATGGTATGGGAAACAGAACGTTTATGAAAAAGAACAAAACCAATAATCTCACCTCTCTGTATTTTACATTCGTAACAAGAACTAGAGTACTTGACAACACCAGCTATTCCCCTGCTGGTGATGCTACTTTGGGAGGCTCTGGAACGTGTAGGAGATGGGTCTTGCTAGTAGAAACAGGTCGTTAAGGGTAAGTCCTTGAAGGTTATGCCTAGCGCCTTCTTTCTGTCATGCACTCTGCTTCTAGATCTACCACACACCCAGGCTTCTATGCCTGTCCTACTACAGTAAGCCTAAATCAAAATAAATCTTCAAATTGTCATGTACTGTTGTCACAATGTCCACAAAGCAACTAATAATATATATAATATATATGGAGAGAAAGAGAGAGAGAGAGAGAGAGAGAGAGAGAGAGAGAGAAAAGGAGGAGGAAGAAGAGGAGGAAGAGGAGGAGGAGGAGGAGCAAGAGGAGGGAAGGAAGAAGGGAGGGAGGGAGGAAAGAAAAATATGCAAAGGATAAGTTTAGAAAAGAACTCTGTTTTGTTTTGGAGACAGGGTTTCTCTGTGTAGCTCTGGCTGTCCTGGAACTCACTCTGTAGACCAGGCTGGCCTCGAACTCAGAAATCCGCCTGCCTCTGCCTCCCAAGTGCTGGGATTAAAGGCGTGCGCCACCACTGCCCGGCCTAGAAAAGAACTCTGAATGAAGATATACAAGCAAGATATTTTGTCTCAGCATGACAGTAGGTGGAGCCAGTGTGTTCAGAAGGCTCACTGCCAGTATCTGGCAAAATATATAGGACCCTAAGGTGACTAGATTCTGTAATTCTATAATTTACAATTATATAAATTCATCTCACAGAGCTGTGAGATGGGGATCTTGAAACTTAATCTCTCCAATTTTTAGTAGGCAACATACTGTTCTATGGAGGCAACTTATTCATTAGTTAACATCTTAGATTGACAATCTATAAATAAAAATATTTAAATAATTACATATTAAAGAAATATGATCAGATAATACATTACATGTATATATTCAGTCTTAGAATATCCAATATCTTCTGGATTGTGTATGGTGGTACACATCTTTAACACCAACACTTGGAAAGCAGAAGTAGGTGGATCTCTGTGATTCAGCCCAGTCTATTCC